TGTCCTGGACATTGGCCACTAGGTAGCCGTGGGTGTTCTTTCAGGAGTTCCATGGAATTGAGAGCAAATGTATGTACATACATACATATGAGTTCCAAGGCAGAAGAAGACTCCCATTTATGAGGCTCCTAATTTTCTATAACATGCGGATTTCTTCATATAAATAATCTGTTTTATGTAAATTTTAAGTACAAATAAAGAAAGAAAATTTCATGTTTCCCTAAAAGTAAAGTCCATATTTTGACTTTTCTTCCAACTTTGGTAGAACATAAAAAATACCCAAAAACACCTTTGTGAAATTAAGGTTGGTTATTTGTTAAATCTCTCGAGAATATTATTTACCTTCTCCTTGGACCGCTAAATCCAGAAGTACTTAACAAATCAAATTTATTGGACCCTTAAAGCCTATGTACATATAAACCACTTTGCTGTCCTTCTATCACAGATACTGTGGTTTTAAATATGGTTCTCTGCGCCGCCATACTACAGCGGAAATGATGATCGATGTAACTAAAACTGTTTACCCAAAAATAGCAAAACCAGTCTCTGACACAAAATCTTACTAAAGGCTCTCCGAAACTGACCAAAAATTCTCAGTGCTCGATTTACTTCCAACTTTCTATGAGTTTTCCATGTCAGTTTCCCATCTAGAATAACCCCAGATAAGTACTTCATTCATAGAAATGCTTAGGTCCCGCCTCTACTCCCGCCGCACATAGAGCTGCTCAGTCCACTAGCTAAGTTTCTAGCTAGCTCTCTTGTGTCATTTATTGTCAAGAGTTATCATATGAAATTTTATTAACCCAACGAAACTTAACTTTACAACCAACAAACTTCGGCACAATTGATTTGACAAAAATTCAATGCTTTCACTATTTACCTTGATAATCATTCGCAAATAAAACGTTATAACTTTAGAAAACCACAATAAAGTTATTAATTGTCTTCAATGAACGGTACCATTTCACCATATAAAAACCTTTCACTTTAATTGAAATTCCAGACACAACTCCGGTACGCGGGCGTTACTACGCAAAAGACGAAAAGTGTAATAATAAACACATGCTGCGCTAATTTCATTTAAATAAAAAAAAAAAAAAAACGAAAAAGTTGTAAAAAAAGTTTACAATAGCCATAAACAAGCCACACAAACACAGTGAATTACGAAATGGCAAAAAACATGAAATATAGCCGCACGCCCACGCTTCATCACAGATTGTTGATTTAAAATTCCTATCGCATATTTGTCACCAATAATTCGCAGTTTTTCTTTCTCTCCCTCTTTATGTGAATTTTTTGCAACTATTTAGAGTTTCACTTGAATTTTATGTGCGACCTATTCTTGGAAATGCATGCAGTCACTCACAAAAGTAATACGAATTTTTAGAAATTTTTCGAGTATGCCGTTTTGTAGCCCATTAAATTTCAATACAATGCAAGTTTCAAGCGACTAAAAACTTCCGTTGATTTCTGATAACTTTTTTTCGCTTATAATGTTGCGCATTTTCTTTCATATAACGCAAGAACAAAAATTATTTTTATAAAATAACCAAACTCGTCAGGGGGGAAAAATTATCAAAAATCAGCGGACATTTTTAGTGACTTGAAACTTGTATTGTATTGAGATTTGATGGGCTACGAAAGCGCATGCATAACCGAAAAATGTCTAAAAATATTCTTATTACAAAATTTTATAATATTTTTTTTTTGAGTCTGCTGAATTTTTGTGAATTTCATACAAAGTTGAAAACTTTGATTCATATGGTTTTTGTTGAAAATGAACTATATAAAAAAAAAAAGTGAGCAAAAAAGGTTTTTAATGGAAAACATTTTGCATAGTGTGGAGCAATTGCGAATACTTCTGTGAGTGACTGTACATTTGTACAGCTTGTACACTCGGACATTCTTAGATAATGCAAATTTTAAGAATGTTCGCCGAACCATTCGCTTCGCCAAATGTATTCGCTTCGCCAAATATATTCGCTTCGCAAGTCATAATACCAGCATATGTACTATATTTATCGCTCGGAAAGTACTCATTTTATACCGGCCCGGACGTATCAAAACATGGGTGTCAGACGAAAGAGGTTTAAAAGGTTTCATTTCGAAAATATGTTGAAGAGGGTTGCAACCCTCTTGAAAAGTCGAATTTAATTAAATTATATACAAATCTTTAGTTCGAGAATCTAGCATAGTTTTGAGGTGTTTGAAAAGTGTTGCGTTGCCTCCTGTTTAAAAGCGTGAGTTAAAATTATTTAATAAGTAAAATGAATTATATAAGCAGGTGTCTCGGTAGAAATGGGTTTGAAAAAACTTTATTTCTGAACTATATTTAAGAGTGTTCCCACGTGTTTAAAAAACGAAATTCAACTTAATTTAACAGTTAATTGAAGTATGTCAGACGAAAGAGATTTAGAAGATTTTTTTTGCAATTACTTTTGAGGAGGGTTGCCAAATATATAAAAAAGCCAAATTTTGTTAGCTTATACATAAGTTATATGAAATATCAAAAAAATATGAGTGTCAAACGAAAGATTTTTAAGAAAACTTAAATTGGAAAATATTTTTAATGGGGGTTGCCACTTGTTCTAAAAGATGTCTATCTATATACTACTACGTGAAGCCATTTTTGTGAAGTTTTTAAGATTTGCGATGTCAAATTAAAAAGCATGGCCTGTACATAAATGTGTAATATTTATATTAGTTAGTTTATTTATAGTAGTTAGTGTTGTTAAAAATTTGATGAAATGAAAAGCCGACACCATGCGGGACTTCTCTTCACCCAGAATCGGTTAGGAGGATTTGATGAAATTTGTCACACGTCTCACATATAACTCTCACTAACATTTGCAATATTTTTTTTTTTAGGTTTTGGAAGAGGATCTCTGCCTGTTAAAAAAGCTAAATGAAATTTTTAATTTTTTAGATCATAAAAGATTTAAAACGGTCATAAAAACGCAGTTTCCACTATAACGGTTGAAATTGATGGAAAAAATAAAAACTGCAAAATAATTACTTTTTTATCTAAAAAAAAAATATCTAAAATTTGATCGAAAAAATAAAGAACAAAATTGCAATTGCAATTACACTAGGCGAAAAATTAAAGTGTACACCTTCTCCTAATATAATATTAAACAATTTACAAAATTTAGTAAAACAAAGTGCAGATTTCAAGTCCCTAAAATTCTGTTCGTACTTTTATAATAAGCGTTGTAAGATCTCCGCATTTAGTTTTTATTTATCGTTAGTATGTATTTTACTATAGTTTTTTGTACAGACAAGGCTCCTTGGAGATTCGAAGAAAAAGGTAACGTAATTACTTTACCTTTAGAAACTTAAAGCTCATAATCAAACAAATTTTCAGCATTCTCCAGAAAAACTGGAACTGAAATATTTTAGGGTTATTTAGGACGCAAAAGCCAGTATTTCTAAATTTTAGGCTTGGCAGGGCAAAAAAAAGGAAGTCTTGAATGACTCCACCTAATCATCCAGCCCAAAAAAGTGTACTCTTAAAACAACCGCTATACCCACGAGACTTGCCCTGCCTGGTTCACCCAACTACTCAGGAAAACTTTGTTGTTGCAAATTTTCTGATTTTCACCCAGCACTCACTAACCGGGCATGCTGTCCTTCTCTCTTACAGTAGTCCACAGATATGTATGTAATTAAAAGGTACTCTCAGCCACTTGTTGCTCGGTGAGACAACCTTTCAGCCATTTCATCCACCATGCTATTTGAATAGATTTGTTGCAAGAATAACTAATTGTGAAACCCACTTTCAGCAAGCACCGCTTACGGTAATGCGTATCTAACAAATTAACCTGAATGCGTTTCTCCAAACTTACAAAAGCTTGCAACAATGTACATACATAGCATCAAAGCAAGTTAATCGAGCAGCATTAATTTGTAGGTGAAAGAAAATTGAGGAAAGAAATAAACATAGACATTAAATACGAAAAAAATTACAAACTGGAAATTGAAAGCTGGCAACACTATGTACATAGTGGCTTGATGCTGGCCTCCTTCAGCATGGAAGAAAAAAAAAAAAAAATGCTGTCATGAATGTGGACGCATTATGGATGCACTTAAATGGAGGATGGCTGTAAGAGTGGATGTGACCGCCGAAGTGGAGTGGAGTGGAGTTGAGTGCAGGTCAGCTGACAGCTGCCACTTTGTAGATATACAATTATGGAGAGGCATTTCAAAACAACAAAAACAATGTAATAAATTTTAAAACAGGAATGCAACATTAATCAGAGATTCAACAGAATTTAAGCAATGCAACAACAAACACCAAAAAGCATCTAAAGTGTAGAATAACAGCAAAATGAAAAACCAAAACAAAAAGCATGTAAGAGAACAGTTATTAAATTAAATTTTCAATGAACACGCAATGCACGCCTAAGTATTTGTTTACATCAACAAGTATGTACATTAGACCAAACCACCTTAGAAGCAAACAAAAAAAATTTTTGCGGGGCATCTTCGAAAAAAAAAAAATTGTGAACGAACCTAATGGTTGCTTTTTTACATTTTTCGATGATGTCTAAATATATGTATTCGACAAAATTTTTTAATTTTTAATTTTTATTTTTCCTTTTATTTTTTTTTATAGTTCTACTGGTATAATGAAAATATTCCCATAGCAAAAGTTTAGTGATTTTTGGAAAGCTTTAATTTACTATCATTACCGTAGTACGTTAGGGTGATAAGAACTGAGAGCTGGTCGATAAGTATTAGTATGGGGTACTTGAGGTCAATGAACTTAGCAGCAAATACACCGCTATATCATACTCTAAGATCCAACTGTTAATGCCGAAAATATGACGAAAAATGTATAAAGACCGACCCCTGCGTGCGGTTAAAAAAATATAATCTTTTTTTGAAATTGTATGGTGTTGTTGTGTTTAGACTCAGGGGTGTATGGCGAACTTTTTTTTTCTGGTACGCTCTAATGTACACATGTATTATAAACACGAAAGTATGTAAGACCGCGTGAGTGATTTTACAATAAAGCATTTTTATTGTCTGTAAGAAACAGCGCAGCTTTTGTCTGCTGTTGTTGTTATTAATTTGTTTTTATATGAATGCAATTTGTTTGAATGTTGTTCTTGACGTTGTCGTAATTTTTTTTTTGTAATTTTTTACTTTGTTTTGTGCGCCTGTTTGTTCTTCTCTGTCTTGCGGTTTTATTTATGTTAACAGTGTTGCATTTTTTGTTTTTGTTTCCTGCGCGCAGCCGCAGCCAACGGTGTTGAATTCAAGGCGCAGTCAGATAAGAAGACAGCGAACAGGAAAAATACATCTGTGCAGCGATAACCTTAAGCAAAAAAAAAATAAAAAAAAAGCATTAACAAAAATAAAAAAGGAGTGTTAAATATAATAAATAAGACTCATGCTTAAAACGTGCAAAAATCTCGGTGCAGCGCCTTTGTCTCCAGTCTCTTTAGTCGCTTTCAACATCTTCTCTCACAGCCAGCGCTCAACGCAACAACAGCTGCAACTTTTAAGCTTTTACAATTCCGCAAGTATTAACGCCAAGCAACCAACCAACCCGCCCGCCCGCTCGTTAACCAATGATTTACACAATCAAACAACAAATCATGCAGTCGCTTAGTCTGTTCCGTCTCAGCCAGCCAATCCCCCAACAGCCGATCCCCCAATAGCCTTTGAAAAGATAAATTACTTGCTGGTGACCTTGTTCCCATCGTCAGTGAATTTGTTGTTATTTTATTTGCGCGAGGTATATATGTGTGTTGTTGTTGTTGCTGGATGAATAAGTTCCAAATTAAATGAATATCAAAAACGATCATTGCAAAGTACGCAATCACTATAACTTCGCAATCAGCAAGTATAATTATTGCGTTTGCTTTTCTGACTGACTGCGACTTTCTTTCTACTTCTGTCGTTTGTACTGCCTGCTATGGTATCGCCCATGCAACTGGCTGAGTCAGCTGGGGTCGTTGGATCGAATCCCACTGAAGAAGTCTGATGAGAAGATGTGGTGATCTACGAAGTAGTTATCACTTCTACCATTTTTACAAATTATTGTTACTTTTCTACAATAGTTTTTCATTAAAAATGGCGTCAAACTAAAAAAAAAAATTGTTGTATAAAATAAAATAAAAAGATTAAATTAAATATATTAAACTAAATTTAATAAAAAAATAAAATAAAATAAAATCAAATCAAATAAAATAAAATAAAATAAAATAAAATAAAATAAAATAAAATAAATTTAAAATTGGAGTAAAATAAACTAAAAAATTCAAATAAAATAGAAAAAATATATTAAGGAAAACATAAAAATGTTAAAAATAGTAAAAATATAAATAACAAAATGAAACATAAATAAAAAATTAAATTAAATTAAAATAAATATTGTTGAATATTTGTCTAAAAAAACAATTTGTTAATTTTAAATATAAAAGAAAATTAAAGCAGAAGGCAAAAAAATAAAGTACAATGGTGATCTTTTCGCAAAAGCTAATTTTTGAAATTTCTAAAAGCTTTTGTATACCAGGCAAGTAAATGATTTAAAAAAAATGCAAAACAATATTTTTATTATGTCAAAGTGAATTCGCCGATTGCAATGCTTGCTAATGCACTAAATCCAATTAAAGTCATCATAAGACTTCCACTTCTATTATTTGCATTCACCTGGTGAAAGGAGTGGGCCACTTTTACCTACAAATTGCAAATTGCATTGTAACAGTAGTAAGAGGTGAAAAGTGTGAATAATTTTCATAAATTGTAAGTTGAAGAAAAAACCAGAAGCGAAAGAAACGTTTAATTTTCTTCATTACTCTTGCCACCAACTGTGCAAATTGTACTAGATATTTTAACACGCATATTATGTGCATTTAATAAATTAAATTTTTGCAAAGATACCATTAGGCACCGTTGTACGCTTAGATAAAGATACACGTTTCTATGTAGCAGCTGCGTGACAAATCAACAATTTTGTATAAAAACACAAAGCAAAAGAAAACAAAAAATTTTCATTTCCAAAAATTTGTTAATTGCACTAATTGCATAAGTTCGAAAAGCCATTATATAGATTTGCAGAGAAAGGGGAAATTTTGAGCTCTAACTTTTTCCCACAAACTATCACGTTGAGATTACGATCAGTGTATTTATTTTGTAATAAATACATTTGTCTTAATTTTAAATCACTTTCTTTAAAATTACTTTGTTTAGCGTGGCCCGTAGCTAATGGTGAGTATACATATGTATGTATGTAATTACAATGATTCTTTGTACAGCTATTTTTCTCTTTCCGTTTGTTTTGTCATGAGATTTCGCTAGCTTTTTGGTTCAATGCACTTTCGGCCACATAATTAAACTGGCTCGTACGCACAAATTAGTCAGCGAATTAATTAGACATACGTATGTACATACATATATGTATAAGCACATACATACATACTTTTGGATATGCATATGTATATGTATTTGTACGAACTTACGTATGTTCTGTTTTATTTTAATTTTATTTAAGTTTCATTTTGTTTAGTTTAGTTTTATTTGTATATTATATTACTTTTGTTTTAGTTTTATTTAAATTTAATTTAAATTTTATTTTAATTGTAATGAATTTCAAATCTCTTGTAATGTTATTTGCTTCCGTTAAATTAATTTCAATTTTATAAACTTTATTAATTTAGGCTCAAATTTAATTTATATTTTATTTTAGTTTTATATTCATTTTGTTTTAGCTTTAATTAAACTAATTATTATTTTTATTTATTTTAATGTAATTTAAATTTTACTTTAATGTAATTTAAATTTTATTTTAATTTTATTTGAATTTACCGAAATTTAATTTTATTTTATATGAATACCCCTATTATTTCTTTTCATTTCGTTTAATTTCATTTAATTAGTTTAATGTAATTTTATTTAATTTAGTTCAATTTAATTTAATTTATTTTTAATATTTTTTATTGAGCTTTGTACCACGATTGTTTATTAGGAAAAATTGAAAAAGCAACAAAGTCTAAGCGGTAGAAGTTATAGCACTATTTCGGAGATCACCACATCTCCTCATCAGACTTCTTTTTCTAGACTTCAGCAGGGATCGAACCTGCGAATTCGATGTTCAAAGTCAGAAGCGTTAACCACTGAGCTATGTACATCCCGTAAACTCTTGTTGCTAATTCATTTTCCTTATTCAACCAACTACTATCTAGTGCAGCTGATTTGCCGCTATTTAAACTCGACAGTGTGGTTGTTGTTGTCAATTCTATACATCCATTTGCTTATTTGCTTTTTCGTATAGTTTCAGGCAGGCTCTTCCTAAACTATGTATTTGTCAATGTTATTGTGGCTTGTTAACATTTTATTTTTAATATTTTTTATTGAGCTTTGTACCACGATTGTTTATT